CCATTGGTGAATTCTATGTTGTTCTTCATGATTGGGAGGGAATAATTTCTAATGAGAAAGTTAAACTGTGAACAATCAATTTTAAGCACAATATAAATTATACCCAACCTGTTCTATCTTTTTCTTGACATTTGATGGTAAAATCCAGATAGAGAAAAAGAGGGGGGTACTGAATAAAGCTGAATATCGCGTAAAGTTTAAGATATATGTGTTATTATTAATTTTTATGCGATCCGCAAAAAGGCACTGATATGTGAAATAGAAGATAAGGGAAAGAAGCGAAAGAAGCGAGAGCGATATATCTAACATTGCTAGTTGTCAAGATTAGATGTTTATCCCCATAAATTACACTACTTTAGAAATGTCATATAAATTTTTTATAAAGATTCCACTAATTGTTATTGTTTTGTTTTGTTTTGTCCACAAGCAGCAACTTGAGCAAACTACAAATATATAATAGGTAAAGCTTTATATATAAAGCCTTTTCTTTTCTCTTTTTCCTTGTGATTAATTTCAGCCTTTTCAGATTTACGTTTAGCTTATTCGGCTTTCTCGCTTCCCGAATGGCCTCTTGGCAAGCATATTCTCTTACTTTGGGTTTTAGATTACCTTTAATACGACGGACAACATATATATAACATCATGTTGATGTTTTTGCAGTACGTCTCTTATATTTCTTTTCTATTTCTTCTTGTCATTTTTATGTGTACGTCTGTTCATGCAAATCGACTATGGATATCAGTATTTATTTATAAAAATTAAACAATATTTAATTGACCATAATAAAAAATGCATTTTTCTCGTTATAATAATAATCACTCTGATAAATTTTGCCTTCACGCAATTGATACTTTAGGAGAATTTGTATTAGAAACTATTCAGGATTTCGAGTTTATGGATTATCTGAACATTGTCCAAGATATCGAATACAAGATTTATATCCGGAAGGATCTTATTTATTGCTATTACCACAAGAACTGAATAAAACTTTTACTGATTATATCATAGATGTTTGACACCTTCAT